AGGGCCCAAGCACTTGGGCCATCCTCCACTGCATTCCCTGGCCACAGCAGAGAGCTGGCCTGGAAGAGGGGCAACCGGGACAGAATCCGGTGCCCTGACCAGGACTTGAACCCAGTGTGCCAGCACCGCAAGGTGGAGGATTAGCCTAGTGAGCGTGGCTCCAGCTATGGATAACTTTATAATACTACTCTCAAGTTTCTCAACACATTTTTAATATCTTACTTCAAATGGTCCATTGCTTTAAAAAACTGAAAATAAGACTGTAACATATTTATGCACCCAGATTTACTACTTTTACACTATGTATTTACCCAGACTTCTATCTGTTTGGATTTGTCTCTTGAAAATTTTATAACAGTATGCTTTGTTATAATTATCATTAGCTAGTTTTTACTATGTAACATTTGGATATCTTCAAAGTCATAAATCCCTGGATACCAACTATATCCTCAAATCCCTAACATCACCTTAATCTCAATAATTCTTCAAAGGAAATAAAGAATTCTGAACATCTTCATAGGTACATGCTCAATTATTACTGTGAAAGGATTCAGGGACATGAGCCAAAGAGTGAACCATACAAGACAAAGTCCATGCATCACTCAGCATGAGCTTATAATTTCCCCATAGTGGAGTCCATTGTTATTACTAGTTCCCCCAAAAAAGGATGAAAATATTCAAAGGACATTGACAACTAGATAATTTCATCAGAGACTTGCTCCGGGTCTTTTTGAGGTATGGTCCCTTAGGCATCATTGGACAACCACATCTTTCCTATCATCACTAGTATATCCAGAGATTGAGCTGATAACACATGTTCCACTACTGTGAATTATATTGTACAAGTAAATATGTGTTCCAAAGCTTTGAGTTAAATGAAGACATTAATACCAAGTGAGTCATTCTGAGAGAACCTCCAACCTCCATAATCTGGGTGAAGGTCAATCTTTCATTAGAAAAAAAGTATTTCTATACATATTATGACATGTAACCTGACATCTTTGATCAATGGATTATAATTTTCACTAGATTTGAAAAATACTATGTTCCCCCTTCACTGAATATTTTTCTGTCCATTCTCTAGTGAGGTCTGTAAATTACATGTGTGTCATTTGACCTGTATAACTCTGCACTCTGCACCCCAGAATATCTCCTATTTTCATCTGAAATTTCATATCAATGGAGCCATTATTTCTGACAGGTCTTTGTATCCTCAGAAAAATGAAAATGAATAAATCTATGGCTACATTTCACTCTTTTTGACTTCAGAATTTACCTCTTACCAAGCACATCTTCAAATTCTATAAATGTAGGCAGTGCCGTGGCTCAATAAGCTAATCTTCCACCTTGCGGTGCCGGCACACCAAGTTCTAGTCCCGGTTGGGGCTCTGGATTCTGTCATGGCTGCCCCTCTTCCAGGCCAGCTCTCTGCTGTGGCCAGGGAGTGCAATGGAGGATAGCCCAAGTACTTGGGCCCTGAATCCCATGGGAGACCAGGAGAAGCACCTGGGTCCTGCCTTCGGATCAGTGCAGTGCACCAGCTGCGGCAGTCATTGGAGGGTGAACCAACGACAAAGGAAGACCTTTCTCTCTGTCTCTCTCTCTCTCACTGTCCACTCTGCCTGTCAAAAAAAAATTCTATAAATGTTATGCAATGAAATACACATATGTGTTGATGTTCAAGTACCAACTTTGTCATTCCATCTCCATGGTCACAAAAAAAGCTCTTCTAGATTTCTTTCTTTGGGCTCTCTCAAAGGGAAAGTTTGGAAGCAGAGACTACATTTAAGAAACTCTTACAGTCAGAAAGATCACAGTTTGTGAAGGAGTAATTACAATGCTGCTGTTAAGGAATGATCTAACATGAGGTATGTTTAGAAAAGAGCTATTTGAATGATCATATTTACTTATTGAATCACAAAACAAGATAAAAAACTTTTGAAATGTATCAGATATATTAGGTGAAACAATTCATTTAAGTGTAATTTTAATTTGTATTTATTTTTGTAACAGTTTATCAGTTTTTCCATTCTTTTAAAAACTTACATTATCTGAAAAGGAGAGAATGAAGTGTGATAATTTGTGAATTTTCCATTGGGATATTAACTCCTTCCTTATTTTACCATAAGATATTCTAGTGATGTTTGTTAGTAGAAAATTAAGCTTTCTGTGATGTAACTGGAATTTTTTTTCTTTTTCTTTTGACAGGCAGAGTTAGACAGTTAGAGAGAGACACAGAGAGAAAGGTCTTCCTTCCGTTGGTTCACCCCCAATGGTTGTGCCAGTCCGAAGCCAGGAGCCAGGCTCTTCCTCCTAGTCTCCCATGTGGGTGCAGGTCCCAAGCACTTGGGCCACCCTCCCCTGCCTTCCTGGGCCACAGCAGAGAGCTGGACTGAAAGAAGAACAACCAGGACAGAACTGGCACCCCGACCAGGTCTAGAACCCAGGGTGCCAGTGCTGCAGGGGGATTAGCCTAGTGAGCCATGGCACCAGCCTCTTTTTAAAAAATATTTATTTGAAATTTATTTACTTGAAAGTCATCATTACAGAGAGAGAAGAAACAGAGTTTTTATATCTGCAAGTTCGTTCCCCAGGCGCAAATCAGAATCTGGGAGCTCTTTCCAAGTCTCAAAGTGCAGGGTCCCAAAACACTTGTGCCACCTTTCTCTGTTTTCCTCAGGCCATTATCAGGGACTGGATTGAAAGTGGAGCAGCTGAGACATGAGTGGGTCAACCATATGAGATGATGGCATCGCAGGAAGTGGATTTACCTTCTACGCTACAATGTTAGTTCCTGTACTTTTTTTTTTTTAACTTTGCTTTGTATTTAATTTTGTCATGAAAAGTTTCCGTATTTTTGTATTCAGATTTCTCAACTTTTGTTTGTAAGCCTTTAGGATGTTGAATTTCAGTTAGAATGGACTTTTCTTATCCCACATTATAAATAAGTTCTTTGTGAAGGTCTCAATTTTTATGTATTTTATAGTGTGAACAGCAGATTCACCTTTAACTTTTTTTCTATATTAATATTTAAAAGTATTTAATTAAATGTTCATAGCTTTATCTTCTGGACTTTGGTGACACTGATATTTGAAGTTGATCTGTTCTATTTGATTTTTTTTCATAGAGTTCTCAAGATATCAGGAACAATGGTTAGGTAATTATTTGGTAGACAAAGATCCCCAGAATATGAAGGACTTCCACAGTCAATATGTCTGTCAAGCATCCTTTTGTTCTCAAGATGATGGAACATCATTTACAAGTACATTGCTGATCATTATTGTGGCTGCAAGATAAAGAGGGTAATGAATCATAGGTGATTTCTGAGAAGTAACAAAAGTCACTTTCATTGACATTTGCTAAAGTGAAGTCTTCTGGCCTTCTGTTTGAGATTTCCTATAGCGGGAGTAGAAATATGGGGTCCTTTCACAATAATGACATCAAATATAAGTGTGGGGGGGGGTGAGCATCACACTAGGGAATCTTCTCTTCCCACCTATTTCTTAACTGCATCTCATTCCCGGACAACTTGAATGTCTCATCTATTCATCATGTAGCACTCAAACTCAGCAACCCTAAGTGATGCCAGGGACCTGTTTGATATCCAGATGTGGCTTCTATCAATCCATAGGCCTGTGACTGTACCAAAGGTACAAAAGTAGAATATGAGTAGAGTAATCACCACAAACATTCCTTTTAAAAAAAGATTTATTTATTTGAAAGAGTTACATGGAGGTAGAGGCAAACAGAAAGAAAGAGAAGTCTTCCATCTGGTGGTTCACTCCCCAAATGGCCACAATGGCCGGAGCCAGTCTCTGTTCTCTGAAATGTGCCTCCTTTTCTATCATTCACTAGGCACTCATTGGTAATAGCCCTTCAGGACATGAATTTTTCAGGAGCTGATCAGCTCTATTGATGTGCTTTTACCTGTAATCTAAAATGCTGTCTGTACAGCTTAAACTTCCAGAGCTTTTTATGGTTAGCTTGGTTGTTTCCAATGGTATAACTAAAAAGTGAACATAGAGTCCAGGTGGGTGTCAGGTTTATGAGTTGTGATTTGTGAAGTTGTTGTTTGCTTGTTTCTGTATATTTTAAAAACTGTGTTTCCAAGTATATCCCATTCTTCAACTTTCCTTTGGACCATTTTGAAAAATTGAATTTATTTTGGGCCAGACTAATTTATTTACCTATTTTAACAAGAGTTGTCATGGTGATAAACTTCATTTAAAATTACTGTGGCATTGTGTATTATTGTTTTTGGTTCTCAAAGAATTTGTTGTCATATTTTTTCTGTAGGTACTAGCATATTTTTACTTTATTATACTTAAATGAGGATGCTTTGAGTTTTCCAATTGAAGCAAATTTACAGTTTCTCCTTGTTCCTCTACTTTCTTGGTTCTATAATTTTTTGTTGTTGTTTGTTTTATGAGCTCAACAGTTCCCTATAGTCTTACCAGATGCAAAGAAGTAACTGAAATACATTACTGTTATTTTTGCAACTTCTTTTCCTAAAATTTCAAGTTTTAAGTAAAAATATTTAACTTAGTAAGTATCACATAGGATACAAAGTTAGAGTTACCATTAAGTACATACAATGGGTCTTCAGAAACTGTGTAAATGTATAAGAAAACTATGGGGTTGATGCTGTGGCGTAGTAAGCTAAGCTTCCACCTGCAATGCCAACATCCCATATGGGCACCAGTTCAAGCCTGCTGCTTGTCTTCCAATCCAGCTAACTGCTATGGCCTGGGAAAGCAGTGGAAGATGGCCCAAGTGTTTGGGCCCCTGCACCCCATGGGAGACCAGGAAAAAGCACCTGGCTCCTGGCTCCTGCCATCGGATCAGCGCAGTGCGCCGGCCGCAGCACGCCGGCCGCGGCGGCCATTGGAGGGTGAACCAACGGCAAAGGAAGACCTTTCTCTCTGTCTCTCTCTCACTGTCCACTCTGCCTGTCAAAAAATAAAAAGAATAAATAAAATAAAAAAAAGAACTAACAAAAGCACAAGTAGCAATCTTTTTATAACTTTCACTTGCTCTCTGCTATAATTGGGCCTTGAGCCTCGTCCACTGTTTCTTCCATGGGTTGTTGATCGACACAATTTCCCATCAGATGTTGGACTCTTCTTTCCGGTGTCCAAATGGGTTGTGCAGCTCCCTGTGGAAAGAAACAAACAGCTCCTCGTACCCTTCTTAATAAAGGGAATGGGCCTTTCCACTGATTATCCTGCAAATCTTTCCACATAATCCATTGTACTGATTCTTTATCCATTACTTGAGTGTGTATTTCTGCTGGAGTTTTGCCATTTTTCTTCTTATTTAAAAAGTTTATAGTATATAATGCTAAAGCCAAGGTATCCTTGTTGGATACTGCATACTCCCCTATTCCCCCTTTTTTTTATTAATTAAGTTTTTTAAATACAAATGAGTACATTCCACAATGGCCTGGCCTTGAGGATTATATGGTATACCAGTTAGATGTACAATGCCAAATTCCTTTAAAAAGGTAGCAAAGCGAGCCAACGTATAAGCCAGTCCATTATCAGTTTTGATAACCTGAGGAATCCCCAGGCTGCAAATGACTTCAAACAATGTTGAATAACTTGTTGCATGCCTTATTTATTCAGGGCCATGGCCATAACCATGCCTGAATAAGTGTCCACCATCACATGAACACCACTCTGCCATCCAAAAGAAGGAATATGAGTAACATCCATCTGCCAAATGTGACACGGCTTAAGGCCACGGGGGTTGGCGCCTGTTGGAATTCTGGGAACCATGGAAACTACACACTTTTCACAAGATTTTATAATATCCTCAGCTCGCCTACAGGGAATGTTATATTTCATGCTTCAGGTGATACTATATACATGCCATTTAGAGTGGTACTCTTTGGCCTGATCAATAACAGTGCAGGCAAGCAAAAAGTGCGAGTAATGATCAGGTAGCATATTGCCCCGGCTAAGTGGTCCCGGTAAATTCGAATGTGCTCTTATATGTCCTATAAATATAGGATGGTGCCTTTGTATTAACAATTTTTGAATTTCTGTTAAATAGGCAGATATCGTGGACAATCTGTAAATACTGCATGCTTCATACAACAATCTTACTACATTAACCACATAAGCACTATCCGACAACACATTTAAGGGACCTTTTTCTTTTCGTAATACTGTTGCAATGATGGCTAGCTCTGCATGCTGGGGAGAGGGGAACACAGTCAACACAAAATATCGCTGATCACCAATAATCGTGACTCCAGTTCCCCCCTTCACCCCATCAGTAAATACTGTGGGGGCCCCTTCTATTGGATGCTTGCACACCTTCTGTACCTGCACAATTGGAATGTGCATGCAAAATGTAACAAAAGGATGATTTGGGTAATGATTATTGATCTATACTTGTAATACTAGAATTACATATGCCCATGCCCAATTTTCTCTTGTCCATGCTTCCACGGCCTCTTTGCAAAAAGGTATGACACATCGTACAGGATTTTCCCTGAAATCTCCATTGTCTTTTTTATCGTGGTTAGTATCAAATCTGCAACGGCTGAACCCTGAGTGTACAGCACTCGAGGTAAATGTGAATGTGGGTAAACAAACAGTAAAGGGCCTCCTTGCCAAATTACTGCAAAGGGGTACATCTGTTCTACAACACTAAAATTTCTAAAGACTTCGACAAATCACGTCTTTGCATTTGGGTAGCCTTAAGACGTGTCTCAACTTTTTGTAAAACTGCAGCTGCCTCTGGAGACAACTCTCATGGTGAAGTAAGCTGTGAATCACCCTCTAAAATTTTGAACAGTGGAAGCATTTCCTCAGTGGTCAATTTACAATAAGGTCGTATCCAGTTTAAATTTCCGCATAATTTTTGAAAATCTTTTAAGGTTTTTAGTCCTGTTGTTGCAATGGTAAATTCCAAAGGGGCCACATTTGTTGGCATTAGCTTAAGTCCTAAATACTGAACTACTGTGTCCTTTTGAACCTTTTCTGGTGCTATTCATAATCCTGCTTCCTGCAGGCATGAGCTTAAGGTCATAAACACTGCTTCCAATTGATCCTTCCTAGCAGATGTTAACACTAGATCATCCATATAATGGAAGATTTTTACTTCTACATGTTGTTGGTGAGCAGGTTCTATGGCTTGTGACACATATAATTGGCATAAGGTGGGACTATTGGCCATGCCTTGAGGGAGAACTCTCCACTCATACCTTTTATTTGGACTTTGATGAATTATGGCAGGCACAGTAAATGCAAATCTTTGGGTATCCTTTTTATGTAATGGTATACTAAAAAAAAATCCTTAAGATCAATTACAATCAAAGGCCAATCCTTGGGGATCATGGTTGGTACTGGAAGGCCTGGCTGCAATGCCCCCATGGGTTGCATTTGTTGATTTATGGCCCTTAAATCACATAGTAAGTGATACTTAAGGAAGACCTTTCTCTCTGTCTCTCTAAAAAAAAAAAGAATACACATTCCAAGGGGTTGTGGATGGCTGAAGGTGACCTGCCTCCAGCTGTTGTTGAACTATTTCATGTATGACAGCCAATTTTTCCTCAATAAGGGGCCACTGTGGTATCCACACAGGCTTATCATCCAGTCAAGTTAGTGGCAACAGCTGCCTTACAGTGACCCCTATGAAAAACCCAGACCTTGTCTTCCTTCATTTGCCCTAGTAGTGATGGGATCCATTATGCCCTGTTCATTTATCCCTAGACCCCCACTGGAGCAACCCATTTGTTTTATCATTTTCAACCCTGGGGAGTGAACAGCTGTAGACTCATTTGTTAGTTGTACTTGTAATTGTTCTTTTTTTAACTTTTATTTAATGAATATAAATTTCCAAAGTACAGCTTATGGATTACAATGGCTTCCTCCCCATAATGTCCCTCCCACCAGCAACCCTCCCCTCTCCCACTCTCTCTCTCCTTCCATTCACATCAAGATTCATTTTTGATTCTCTTTATATACAGAAGATCAGTTTAGCATACATTAAGTAAAGATTTCAACAGTTTGTTCCCACACAGAAACATAAAGTGAAAAATAATAGATGATTTTTAAATGATGATGAAATCAGATCAGACCTATTGTCATGTTTAATCCCAGTGAGAGTAAAGTAGGGAATTGATAATTTCTTCTTTTTTTTCAAGCAGATCAGTTTAGTATACATTAAGTAAAGCTTTCAACAGTTTGCACCCCCATAGAAACACAAAGTGAAATATACTGTTTGAGTACTCATAGCATTAAGTCTCAATGTACAACACATTAAGGATAGAGATCCTACATGAGGAGTAAGTGCACAGTGACTCCTGTTGTTGACTTTACAAATTGACACTCCCGTTTATGGCATCAGTAATCTCCCTGTGCACCAGTCATGAGTTTCCAAGGCTATGGAAGCCCCTTTAGTTCTCCGACTCTTATCTTGTTTAACAAGGTCATAGTCAAAGTGGAGGTTCTCTCCTCCCTTCAGAGAAAGATACCTCCTTCTTTGAAGACCTGTTCTTTCCACTGGGACCTCATTCACAGAGATCTTTCATTTAGGGTTTTGTGTTTGTGTTTTTTTTTTTGTTTTGTTTTGTTTTGTTTTGTTTTTTTTTGCCAGAGTGTCTTGGCTTTCCATGCCTGAAATACTCTCATGGGCTTTTCAGCCAGATCCGAATGCCTTTAGGGCTGATTCTGAGGCCAGAGTGCTGTTTAGGACATCCGCCATTCTATGAGTCTGCTGAGATTCTCACTTCCCATGTTGGATCACTCTCCCCTTTATTTATTCTATTGGTTAGTATTAGCAGGTACTAGACTTGTTTATGTGCTCCCTTTGACTCTTAGTCCTTTCATTATGATCAATTGTCAGCAGAAATTGATCACTTGGACTAGAGAGATGGCATTGGTACATGCCACCTTGATGGGATTGAATTGGAGTACCCTGGTATGTTTCTAACTCTACAATTTGAGGTAAGTCAGCTTGAGCATGTCCCAAATTGTACATCTCTTTCCTCTCTTATTCCTACTCTTATGTTTAACAGGGATCACATTTCAGTTAAATTTTAACACTTAAGAATAACTGTGTATTATTTTTCAAAAGAGGAAATCCAAATGGCCAACAGGCACATGAAACAATGTTCAAGGTCACTAGCCACCAGGGAAATGCAAATCAAAAGCACAATGAGGTTTCACCTCACCCCAGTTAGATGGCTCACATACAGAAATCTACCAACAATAGATGCTGGCAAGGATGTGGGGAAAAAGGGACACTAACCCACTGTTGGTGGGAATGCAAACTGGTCAAGCCACTATGGAAGTCAGTCTGGGATTCCTCAGAAACCTGAATATAACACTACCGTTCGACCCAGCCATCCCACTACTTGGAATTTACCCAAAGGAATTTAAATTGGCAAACAAAAAAGCGGTCTGCACCCTAATGTTTATTGCATCACAATTCACAATAGCCAAGACCTGGAACCAACCTAAATGCCCAACAACGGTAGATTGGATAAAGAAATTATGGGATATGTACTCTTTAGAATACTATACCGCAGTAAGAAACAATGAAATCCAGTCATTTGCAACAAAATGGAGGAATCTGGAACACATCATGCTGAGTGAAATAAGCCAGTCCCAAAGGGACAAATACCATATATTCTCCCTGATCGGTGACAACTGACTGAACACCAAAAATGAAATCTGTTGAAGTGAAATGGACACTATGAGAAATGGTGACTTGATCAGCATAGCCCTGACTGTTAATGGACAACTTAATACATTATCCCTCTTAGTAGTTTTTTTTTTTTGTCTGCTCTACTTAATAAGACTGGTTTAATTCTGTAATTAATTTTGTTTATTTTTTCAAAAAACCAGCTCCTCATTGGGACGATTTTTTGTAATGTTTTTTTGGATTCAATCCTGTTAATTTCTTCTCTGATTTTAATTATTTCTCTTCTACTAGATTTGGGTCTGGTTTCCTGCAGTTTTACTAGGTCCTTGGGATGCGCTGAAAGCTCATTTATTTGGTGCCTTTCCAATTTCTTGATATAGGCCCCTATTGCTATAAACTTGCCTCTCAATACGGTTTTTGCCGTATCCCATAAGTTTTGATATGTTGTGTTGTTATCCTCATTTACTTCTAGAAAGTTTCTGATTTCGCTTTTGATTT